CTTTCACTATGATAATGTTTCTTGATGTTTTTCAGAGTCCTTGTGCTGGTTTGAATAAAGTGGCAGGCAAGGTCAAATGAACTATAGCTACCTACCCTCCATATAGAAAATATAAGGCTGTGCATGTGGCATAATAAAAATTCCAATAAATACCTGGATATTTGGAAAGGCCAGAGGAGTGGGCAGGAAATGACATGAGATAGAGGAGTGCAGTGGTACCTGGCGAAGGCATGAGGAGTGTCTATTGCACTTCTGTGCTTCAGATCTGTATCTCTGCTGAGCAGTTGTTGATTGGTCTCTTTGTAGCAGCATCTGTCTAGAGGTAAGAAAAGCTGGTCATCATCTGGCTTCCAATTGTGTACAAAGTCTGATAACACTTTCTGGTTTTCAAGAATAATTAAAGCTTTTCTGAACTTTTTTGGGTAAAAGCACACTTAATCATCACGCAGCAAAGCTGGCAGCTGGCCAAAAGCAGGACAATCAAAGGGCTTGCTCTCACAGAGCCCCAAGCAGATCCCTCAGCTTCGGATAAGTACTAGTGGGAGAAACGCAAGGACCCTGGTTCTGGAAATCTTCAAAACCCTTCTGAGTAAAAGCAGATCCTTCTACACTTCTGAGTAAAACTTAAGACTAGAGCATGAAAAGGAGTGAAGAGGCCATGAATAATAATTTTTATTTAATAAATAGAGAATATAGAACAGTTTACAGTTGTGAGCCATAAAGATAATTCTTAAGCAAGAATTTCTTTTTTAATTGACTTGTCTGAATATCCGCCCTCCCTTCCCCCCTAAAATAAACCAAAGTATTACTAGCTCTGGCAGTTTTATACTCAAATGCAAGGTTATATTTAATCTGGGAAAACCTAAGATAAGCACATCCTTCCTAATTGCCTCTTTCTAAGTTATGTTTCTTGTGACTCCTCAAGTTAGAAGCTCAAACCATATTTTGAGGGTATTTATCACATTTTATGCCTCTGACTCTGCAGTGTTCGCCCTCACGGGGCCCATCCTAGGGAAGGCGACAGAAAGACAACCTAAGTGAATCCCCCCTTCCTTAACAAACCACAGAAGCTGCCAATGTACTGATGTCATCAACTAGATGGCTTTGTTCCTCCATTGATAATAAAGCACTTATTTTAGTTTATAGTAACTGTGAAAATAAAAAGAAATCAAAGACTTGGAAATGTTTTGGGTGATGGTCACTGGCTCTAATCTTACTTTATGTATGACCCTTAATTAATCCCACTCACCTTCTTGCCTCACTTTGTTCAATTTACAACTAGGTGTTTGGGCTCCTAGAACGTTCTCAAAACCACCCACTAAAATTCCAGGAGTTCTTGGTCTATTTTAGAGGTACCTTATGAAAAAAAATACATAAAATTTGTCCTCCATGGCAAATATCACCTGTTGCCTTGAAGTTTCATGTTTATTTTGCATTTCTTTTTTAAAAATATCCACGTGCACTTTAATATTTTCATAGTTGAATTTTTTATATGTTGATCCACCTGAAACTTTATAACATTATCATTTAATGCAGGGCAAAATTATATAAATCTCAAATATTAGTTAAGTAAACATTAATACATATTTTAAAAACATAAAAGCCTTAAAGAGCTTTGAAATTACTTTTCAGTTTTTAACTTTTAGAAATTTAGCTGAATTGTAAAACATTCATAATGTGGTAAGATAGACTGAAGAGGCAAAAACCAAAATCATATGATTTTTTAACACATTGGGAAATGATGTCAACTTAAAAATACATAAATTGTTGGGTGTCCTATTGTATTCATTTTTCCTACTTTTTATTTGGTACATTATTATCTACCAAGATTTATTGATTTGACACAATCCACAAACATCATATGAAGAGAGAAACCCTTTCCTCATCTTTATGTCCATGTATTCCTATGAATATCAACATTAAAGTGTTACTGTCTTGAGATCAATCAAGTCTTACATTTCCTTTTTGAAAAAAACATTTTCCCCATTTTCCCTCCTTTGTCTCTACTCCTATTTTCTATCCCACGTTACAATAACCCCCACTATTTTGAGAATTTCTGTTACAGATTTTTATCTCTTTGTAACTCCAGCTTTAATGGAATAGCCTTTCATTAGTCTTCCTTCAATAAATATTTATTGAATGTTTACTATTGCTAGCTAGTGAATTAGGTGCTGAGGGGGCATAGAGCTAAGTAGACACAATCTTTGCCCTCAGTAAATTGACATTCTCAAGAAGTTATCCCTCCTCTCTAAAGCCCAGTTTCTTCATCTATAAAATAGGGTAATAATAATTACTGCATGAGCTGTTATGAAAATCAAATGAAATTACAACTTTTAAGCACTTGGCAAAACACCTAACTTTCAGTAAATATTGTTTATTCCATTTTCTTTCTTAGGTGCTATAATAGAAGAAACTCAACCACGGAGATAATATTTGAGCCGTGTCTTGAAAAGGGTTGATTTTCAAAGGAAGAAGGAACAAGGAAGGAAAACACTCCAGTTACTAAGTGTATCCAGTCTGTACGTGAAAGAACATATTACATGCTGTTTTAAAGAAGTAGAAAGCTGCCCCATAAAGCTAGGAAGAACAAGCAGGACATGAACCTGGAAAGCTGAGCTGGTTTAATGAATTTAATCCTGCAGAAAACAAAGAACCACAAGGGACTTTGACAAAAGAAAATAACATATTTCCACTTGTGTAATGGAAAGATCACTATGGAGAATCGGTTTGTAGGGTAAGAGCCCAAAGGGAGTGAAATCACGTAAGAGATTCCCAAGATCAGATTAGAGACGATGATGTCTGAACTAAGACAATGACAGTTACTGAATGATAGAGATTGAATTGAGAAATAATTTAGAGGCAGCATCTACCATATGCGGTCACTGACTACACCTTGGGATAAGGGTTGACCCTGAGGTTTTCAGTTTGGTGGTCAACCAGATGAATATACCATTAACTAAAATAAGAACTACAGAAAAAGAATAAATATATTGGGGAAGCAGAGGATGAGGATTTGGAGAAAGCTGGAGATTATGGACATGATTTTAGACAGGGAAAACACCAAGAGAATACCAATCCTGAGAGGGCAGGGAAAAGGGAAGGAACCAATACAAAAAGTCTATGAAGAAAGGTTATAATCACAGAGAATAACATATTGGAAACCAAGAGAGCAGAGAGTTTTCAGAAAGAGGATTTAAAGATTTGTGCCAATATCACAGAGTGGTCAAGTAAGAAAGCTAGGAGAAAGCTGGTTTCATCTTCTAACCCCAGGACCTGGGGAGAGGGAGAATGGACAGCCTCCCCTCCAGCTGGGTTTGAGGAAGGGAGTGCCATCAGAGCAAACTCGTGTTTTGGTTAAGTTGAGAAGGCAAAAGGAGCTCTCTATAAAAAGTTTAACAATCTGGGGGAAAATTAAAGATCCAGTATTGCAATGGACATGTTTGAGAGGAGAGCCAATGGGTGGAGGAGAGAGAGGTCACCAGACCACCAAGAAAGGACAAGACTATTCTGGATAAAGATAGAGCATGAGAGGATTAATCAAGACGTAATTCTGATTCTTTTTATCTTCATCTTAAGTGAAATAATTCTTAGCCCTTTGATGACCTATCTGATATTACATTAACTAATAAATTTAATACTCTGGCTATTTTTCAGTTCTTTCCTTGTATTTGAAGCTGCTATGCCAATCTAGGCAACAGGGATGCCAGCCTCCATAATGAGAAAGCACTGTCAAGTGGGTCCAAAATTCCAAACGCTTTTCCCATTCAAGTTGAAAGCCACTAGTTCCCCTGTGAGCTTCTCAAGTGTCACCTCTGGATTTAATGACAGTCTTGATATGCTACATGGATGTCTGTTTACAGTAGACTCCAGTCATTTTCCCAACAAGGAAAACCTGTATCTGCATTCTTTTGATTTAGCTGTTTATCTTTGTAAAACACATATAAAAGTGTTACTTACTAGTCAAGCCAAGACATTATCCTGCAGGAGCCGCCTGAAACCCCATCATCACTGTATTAGAAAAAAAAAAAAAAAAGCTGGCAAAGTCTAGGTGTGCCCCTTGCAGTTATTTAATAAGCTAAGAGAGAAGACTGGGTAAACTAGATGTCTCAATTGAAAGATAAAGTTCTGAAAATTGTTTTTGTCACCAGATATGCCTTGTTGAGGGCCCTGTTTTCTTTTGCCAACATGCTGAGTCTAGTATTTTACAGCCAGCTTTTTCAGCAGTCCTGTGATTAAAGAAAAAAGATGGACTGCTAGAGATACCACATTTGGACCAGCTGCAGGAATAATTTAACCAACATGGCATGAAGGATATTGTTCAAGTGAGTAGTTTGCTCTACTCTCAAATTAGTAAACAAACAGATTATCAAGGCCATTTGTTGATACACTTACCCTAGTGTGGTGAATTTAACGTATGGGTCAAAAATTTCTTGACACTTGTATCAAAAGGTAGATCAAAGGATCTATCTATGTCCTATCCCCTTGAAACCAGAAAAACTTAGGATTGCTTTAGCCAATAGAATATAGTGTAAGTGATGTGGTTTCCAAGGCTAAGTCAGAAAAGGCAATACAGTTTCAGTCTGATCCTCTTGGAACACTCTCTAGAAGAAGCCAAGCACCATGAAATAAGTCCAACTATCCTGCAACCACCATGCTGGACAGGCCATGTGTAGGCATTCAGTAAAAGCCCAGGTGAGCTCCTGTTGAACAGCCAACATAAATTCCCAGTAATATGAGGGAGGCATCTTGAACATCAAGCCCAACTGAGCTACCGTATCCTCAATTTAACTACTGTATCCTCAGGCTACTGTATCTCCAGCTGATATCTGCCTGCAACTGCAGAAGAGATTTGAAGCAAGAATCGCTCCTCCAAGCCCTTTCCAAATTCCTAGCCCATAAAATTGTGAGCAAAACAAAGATTAAGTTGCTAAGTTTCAGAGTAATTTGTTACATAGCAATAGTAATCAAAACAGAATTAGTTACCTAGAAGTGGGTTACTGTTGAAAACAAAAATAACAACAATAAAACCCAAAAAATGTGCATTGACTTTGAGACTGAGTGCTGAACACTCAGTTTGGGTGCTGAGGAAAAGCTGGAAGGATTAAGGAAACTACTGTCAGAAGTCTAATGGCCCTCGAAAATACTCAGTGAGAGCTTCAAGGTAATTGAGAAAAATGTTATTAGAAGCTGGAGGAAAGGGAATTCTTGTTCTATAGTGGGAAAATTTAGCTAAACCATTCCTGCAGTAACAGAAAATAGAAAATGTGCCTCAGGAAGTGATGGATTTGGCTAAGGAGATCACTAGGCAGAATGAAAAAGTCCATTGATTTCTTTTAAGCATATATTTATAAGGCATAGATAGAGCAAGATGAGCCAAAGAAGAAAATGTTGTTTCCAAGATTATGTAGAGAAAATAGAAAGAAGCCAAGGCTTAATGGACTGAATACAACTCTGTTTCCAATCTCTCCCAGAAAAAATTCTAAACATAAGAAAACGTCTTAGGATAAATATTGAATCTGGAAAAATGTGATCTTATGGTCAATACGAAGACTATGCTGTGACTGCAATTTTTAAAACTTCAGAATCATTTTAGATGGTGCCTCAGAGACATTTTCAAACAAACAAACAAACAAAAAAGCCTTTTAAGTATCTTAAGGATTGCCTGGTTAGCCTTTCTGTTAAATAATAAGGCTTCTAAGACTGCTAAGAGTGTGGTCTCATAACCACCTTATAGGGAGCCCGAGGTACAGAAGGACTTACCTGGGAGAGATCTGTCCATGTGGATTTTATCTAATGGAGTGGATTTTATCTAATGGAGTGGATTTTAAATTGGTACACAAGAAGCTTACAGAGTTTTTAAAGGAATTGTATAAGCTTGAACTGAAATGAACATAGACAGTACAAAATGGAGGGATGCCTTTGAGCAGGAAGCAGACTGAAAAAAATGACTCAGCTGCCACACCGGTCATTTCTTGTGGAAAGGAAAGATGAATCAGAGAGATAGAAGCAAGATTCTGAGGGCAAACTAAAATCTACAGACAATTAGTCCCAGACAACAGTACTGATCCCTCATTTAAAATTGGCAATTTGTGCTCAGCTTATTCCAGGCACGCTATAAATCAGTGGCGATTATCACTTCCATTCCCCCCTTTTTAAATGAGAGTATCTCTAAGTTATCTAATGTCTATTCCACTAATTTCTACTGGGAGTGTGGGAGTAGATAATGTGTTTCTTATATCACAGATCTTCAGATCAGAAAGAATGGTACTCACAGAGATGAACCCAGGGAACAATATGTGAAGAGACTCCTTCCTAGCATTGGTTTAGTTAAGAAGAGTCTGAATCTCCAAGCCTGATGCTGAAATGGGATGATACATGCTTGGGGGGATAAAGAGGAGAAGGGGAATCTTGAGAGGGGATGACTGTATTTTGCATGTAGGAGAAATTAAAATAATTTGTGACCAGAGCATAGACATTGGTTGTTCAAAATGGATCCAAAATTTTTTGACATTCCTTCTATCCAGAGATAGGATCTATGTGGGTGTATTTATGACTATTTCAACCAACAGTATGAAAGAAGTGATGCCATGTGACTTCTGAGTCTAGGTAAGAAAATATCACACAACTTCTGCCTGATGTTCTTGGACTTCTCACCCTAGGGGAAGCCAACCACTATGAAAGATGTCCAATTACTCTGAGCCTATCATGCTGGAGAACTCTCACCCACAGGTACTCCAGTCAACACCACCAATAGCAAATGCCAGTCATGAGGGTAAGTTATCTTGAACATTGAACCAAGTCAAGCCTTTAAATATTGGCAGCCTCAGCCAATATCTGATTGCAACCTCATGAGTAACTCCTGAATTTTCACCCTCAAAATATGGAGCAAAATAAAATGAATATTTTAAGCCACTGAGTTTGGGGGGTAATTTATTATTCAGCAGTTCTAAGTGAAATACCTATAAATATTTTTCAACAATAAATGTGTCTTTTTAGGATTAAAAGTCTTTCTTTGGGTTAGGTCAGAGAGAAAGATCAAATATATAACCGAAATCATAAGACCAAGAGGCCAAATGGAAGTCAGAAATAAAAGCTGGACAAAGTGAAGGTTTAGTTAATGGGAGGATGCGTAAATAATGGTATGTTTACCATATAGAATATTTTGAAACTATTGTTGAAAATGTGGGACCATATTATTAGATTTGGAAGGATTTTTATGGGTAATGTTAAATGGGAAATATAAAACAATAAAGGATGTTAAATATCTCCCCTCATATATGTGTGTACATATACATTTGAGTGTGTATTTCTGTGTGTGTGTGGTATGTGTGTGTACATACATATTATTTTATATGTATGTGTTCTGTATGTACAAGTGTATATTCTACATGTATGTATGCATATGATTTTTAAGCACAGTTAAAAATATGGTAGTATACAAACTAGATTGCCAATATGGCTACCTCACAGTTGAGAGGCAAAAGGTTTGGTAATCAGAAAGGAAAGAGGGGAAAGAGAGTCAAACAAAAAGAAAAATAAAAGAATGACTACATTACAAATACGTGGTCAAACATTTATGAATTTATACACTATGTATACATATATATATGTTTACAAAAGTTAAATTATTCAGATATGTGTGTGTGTGTGTGTGCCTATGGGGACACAAAGTATAGATTACAGATGAAAGTATTATTACTGGCTGTCAGCAAGAATAAAGAGGAAAATAGAGGACCAAGACAGTCATAGCAAAACAAAGCACAGAGGCACAGTGTGAAACTAGCTCAATCCACGCAACAAACACTAATGTAATGGTGACTAATTGAGGAACACATAGAAACAGGTCAAAGCAAATATTAAAAGTAATTGGAGTCAAAAGAAAAGAGATACTGAAGAACAAGATAAGAATATTGGGCAAAAGTAGGAGAGTCAGGAAGAAGAAAATATGAATAGAAAAAATAGGGCTAAGTACTAAGGCAGAGACAAGATTCACAGAGCAAGCAAGAAGTTGGAGAAGAAAATGCTAGGGACCACCAGCCACAAAAGACCTTAATAACTGACACCATGTCTTATCTCGGCCAAGGAACTTATAGATAATGTTATTTGTGGATTACTTGGGGACCGGCAGTGTTACATAGGATAAATGTGTCTAATTAGTGACAACTAGAAATTCAAAGGCCACTAGTGTGAAGCAGCTTGCTATGGAAATAAGCAGCATTTTCCAAGGTGTGGAAACGCTTCAGAAGAGCTCTGAAATGTGTTTTCCAGAGGCAAGTGCTAGGTTCTGCCTATCTACCCATAAATTTGACAGCAAGAAGAGTCATTACTGCTTTCCCTTGAAATTTCATACTGACTTTTGTCCAACAGTTAGTTTAATTAAGTCATATTCACTCATTTCTAGGAAGCTCAAATTTATTTCTCTAGAGATAAATAACACTGTACATTTACACTTACCATTTGATCCATTTTGGAATCACAAACCCTCCAATAAAAATTTTTTGGTCCATATGTCAATTTACTAAGTTCTTCAGGTGGAAAATGTAAGTATAGTAAAGCTTGCATTAGTAAAAAGAAAAAAAAGAAAGTTCTGTTTCCAAATGTGTCTATCATATACATCATCCAAAAAAAAATATTTCAGAACTGCCTCTCTATGCTAGAGAAAACTGCAAAACTTAGTGGAATAAAATGACTGGCAAAACTGTTTAGGGAAACCGTCTCCAAATCATTTTAACAAATTTCATACAAACAGAAATACAACTAGACCAGGCAGAAAAGAACTAGTTATTCTGACATGAGAAATGAGTTATTCTCATTTCTCCTAGTCCATGAGAGAAAGACCATATTTTCACATATTTTTGTATTTTGCGTTATTGGATTCAAAAACAATGAGACACATGCCAAAATGTTAATAAAGCCTCCCCTAGAAAACAGGAAGAGAGGTAACGGAATTGGAATTCGCATTGTTTATTTCATTCTGAATTTTTAAATTTTTAATGAAAAGCCTCTGTTATTGTTGTATCAAAAAAAATTTAAATAATTTTAAAAATAAAAACAATCTTATAAGAAATAATATTGTCAATGGTGTGACTACAATACCCTGCTTTCTCTTAAACAACAAATTTTTAAAATTGTTTCCAGCAAATTGTATATTATGCGGTATGGTACTAATTAATAGCCTTTATAATTCAGGGAATAGTCAATGATGCATCCATTGCCACTACTTGATTTTTTTACTTTGCAACAAGAGGTCTTGCCATTAAGGCACATCATTCATCAAAATGACAATTCTTCATATACACTTTAAACGTATGTTGAAATCACATGTCACAAGTCTTTTTTTCTTACCCTAACATTCATAGGGTAATGTTTTCCTTCCTCTCAAACTCTCTTACAATGCATTTTAATTTTTTTTTTTAGACAGTCTCACTCTGTCACCCAGGCTGGAGTGCAGTGGCCACCTCTGCCTCCCGAATTCAAGCGATTCTCCTACCTCGGCCTCCTAAGTGGCTGGGATTACAGGCACCCACCACCAAACCCAGTTAATTTTTATATTTTTAGTAAAGATGAAGTTTCGCCACGTTAACCAGGCTGGTCTCGAACTCCAGGCCTCAAGTGGTGAGCCCTTCTCAGCCTCTCAAAGTGCTAGGATTACAGGCATGAGCCACTGCACCTGGCCAGGATGCTTTTTTTATGATAGAAAATTTAAGTCATTTTTTCAATTGGAAATTTGTTGACACTTGCTGTAGGTTTAAATTTTTTTTTTTTAGTGAAGAACATATTCAGAAGTTCATGTCGAAATTAGGGAATCCAAATCCAAAATTCAAATTTCAAAAAACGTCACAGCTCAAACTTGAAATTCCAGATGCTTAAAAAATTATTGAAGGTGGAAAATATTTTTTGTCTCTGAAGGGTTTATTTTTAAGCCTATTTTTCAATTTCACTGAGTTTGGTTTCAAGCCAGTTTGGACTAAACTAAAGTCTGAAAAAGAGTGGGAAAAAATCAGTAATTCAAAGTGATTTCAAACTTGGACATGTGACCTAGCATGACTCATATGGGGAGAGAAAACTGTCCAAATGTCCACGGCCTTACACAACTCTACATTTTTGATCTTGGCAAGTCCTAATGATTCACACTTGACTTAAAAATATAGCACATACAAGATTTCTAAGCCCATACTCAATATAAAACTACACTTTTTATCTATTAAATTGGTTTATATACAAGTTACATTTTCACTCTTTTAAACTAAAACAGATTTATATATTTGACCCAGAGATTCTTCAGAATTCATCTTCCACCAATACGGAGTGAAATGAAGCCAGATAAAGAACATTATTCAAGTGCATGGAAACAATATCTATATTAGAACTGACTGGTATTTGCAGTAGTATCAACCACATATTTATACAGTTAAGTGTTCCAACAATACCACTTAAACTGAGCAATAAAAAACATCGTTTGGATTTTTGACATTGCTTTCCTAACTCAAATGCAGGGCTGTAGTAAAACATAACTATAATCTTTAATTTTTGTGTACTTTTTACCTGCAGTATCTATGTTCTATATATGGGGTGTGTCTGTGTATAGTGTCTTAAAGCCTGAGTTCAAAATAATAAAAGACTTTGTCAGAGATAAAAATACAATTTAAAATCCTAGAAGAAAAAGAAAGTTAAGCAATGCCAGGTAGAAACGTTTACAAATATACACACATTATTTTATGAAACAAGAAACAGATTTGAGGCCAATATGTTTGTTATTAAAGAAATTAAATAGAATTTGTCTATGGTTGCTGATTTACAAAGTATCGACATTACTATGTGCACTATGAAAAATGATAAGGCACAAAACATAAGATTATTTCAAAACTTCTACATCTGTTTGACACAGTGGCACATAGATTCATGATAAATTGAACTACTTAGTTTAATCTGCTTATACTCAATCTTGCTCACAAAGGATTTAAGATCTAGAAAAATTTAGCTATTAATAAATATAAAGTGTTTATATTCCATATTCTCTAAAGGATTTGAGAGAGGGAAAGTTAGTAATAGAGTCATGTTTATAATACAGGTAAGAAATTATACAAGGTAAAAATGCCATAAGTTCCAAATGAAAAGAATAGACAATAGTAAAAGCGGAAGAGAAACAACAGCAAGACTGACACAACATGATTAACTTATTGATCCAAGTAACACCTCATAGAAACAATTAGCACTTTATAGTCATCATTTCATTAATCATCTCATCAACAACCACCTTGGGAGAGTTTATAATTATCTGTGTTCTGGCACAGCCAGAAACTCAGTGCAGATTTTCTTCTAGGTTGAAAGTCTGAGCTCCATGCATTAATTAAGCTATTACACAACCATGTCATTTTATGTCCATCTCTGGTTTGCGAGGCCTCAAAACATTTAGAATCTCATCAGTACTTTTACTCTGGTCACCAGAGTACCTCAAGAAAGTATCCAAATGAACTCCATATTTTTTTCAACGGTCATTGAATGAACAGTGCCAACCCACTTTGGAAATCAGAGTCAGACGGGCATTTTGTGTTTCTTAGGAAAAATAAAACCAGTTTTAATGTTGACCACTTGTCAAATAGCATCACATCAGGAATATACTTTTCAATGATAGGCAATACTACACATGACAGTTGCTGCCTCTCTTCCAAAGACAATGGTGTTGTCACTGTTTCTTCAAGATACTATCCTGGTGGAAATGTTTTCCACTCTGATCCAGGCCATGAGGAAATCTTCCAGGCATTGAATATA